TTCTTAAAGAGACTGCCACATGCCTCATTAAATTGTCTTAATGTCACCAAGAGTTATTCTCCGTTTTTTTTACTTGTTTATTTTATTTTTTATGTCTAGCCATGAGCTCTTGTATCTAAGCTCATTTCTTCCTGTTTTTCCCAAGTGGAAATGGAAAGCTACTATCCTGGGCATGGTTACAATTCATGTTACAGAAGGCTGTCATGAATAACCCCTGAGCCAGCCTTAGCTGAGATTCATCCAGTTGCATTTATCTTTTGTATTTGCCAATAGCTTCCTCTCATAAAACTGAAGTTCTGGGATTCAGAGGGCCAGAATCTAAAAGAATTTTATATTTGAACATAGTCTTTGGGGTCTTTTCCCGGGATTTAGGTCTGTTCTCAGCCTCTGCAAGTAAATATTAGGAGGTTTTATGAACTAAACATTATCAGAATTGTGAAAGATCTTGTATGTTTTGTTATCTCAGTTCTTCCAGTTTCTGACTCTAAAATAGAATCATATTTATAATTTTTCAACCACCACTAATATGGTTTCTAAGTAGATTATAAGACTTTTACTGAAATAACCAACTTACATCATCTGTTTAAAAACTTTTTACGAGGGAAACCTACAAAAATGTTCCCATTTAAAGGAGAATGGATGGATATACTTTTAACTATATACAATTTTAAATACTCCATTTAGCTCTGTTACTCAGATACTCCTGAAGTCAAGGTCAGAGTTTGAGCTTTGTGTAGGTCATTTAGCTTTGTTTTCTTTTATCCTGACCACTGTCTTGCAGATGCTAGCTCTTGGTCACAGGTCGTATACTCAGAACTAGGGAACCTCTGACAGCAGTAGGCAGGGGTCCAGGGAAGGCAGGGCCTGGAAACTGCTCAGGTCCAGCTGGTGTCCTAGGAAGGACACAGCAATGGACTATAGAAAATATCTGAACAGTGTCGTGGAACATTAGGGAAACCTATGTGCAAATGAAATGCATACAGATGAAAAAGAAGTTGGGTTGGGTTGTTAAGTGTAATAGCCGGAAGAGGAACCCAGGCTTGGAAACTAGAATATAGGGGAAAGAATCTAATCTCTAGGAGACTGGAAAAAACAATTATTTTAATGGTAATTAATATTTATTGATAACTATAAATGGGCCAGTAACTGTCCTAAATTACAGTATTAACACTTAAGTAGGGCTTACTTCTAAATGAGCTGATTGAACACTCATGATTAAAGCAAGAACTGTTACCATTCCCGTTTAACATACGAGGAAACTGCGTCACAGAGAGGTTAGGATATTCAAGGTCAGACGGTTTAATAAATTGTGGAGCCGCAAGAAGTAGAAACACTATTATCATCATCTCTGTTTTAGAAACGAACAAGCAAAGGCTCAAAGACATTAACTTTTCTGAGCACACACTACTAGTGAATTGGTAAAGCCAGGATTTGGAATGTAGCTTAGTGACTCCGGAGCTTATTCTTTAACCAGAACCTTTAATTGCCTTGGAGTAAATGCAAAAGTGAGTTCCAAAAGATCGAGTTATTGTGGGGACTTGTGTACAAGCTACTTAGGACAGTGACCCAGTTATTGAAGGGCAGTACAAAACTAGAACTCAGCAATCAGAACAGGTTGAACAGGCAAAACAGACAGCAGGGTTAATTTGGTGTCGAGCAACCTAACCTAGGTGTCTTTTAAAGTCTTCCTGACCAGAAAAAGGATCCAAGCAGAACTAAAGTGGATCTGGACTTCCAGACAGAGACTAACTAAGTGGATTAAATAGGGAATGAAGGGAGTTGGGGGCAAGGTGAAAAGCAAAGAGGAAGACAATGTAGATGAAATTTCATCTCTTTTGGAATATAACTAAGAACTCATACTCACTATAGAAGGATAAAACTTGTCATGTTTGAATTTAAAGCACCTGGCATCATATGGCATTGTCCTTTATGATGATACCAGAGAATACCATATTGCATATGACTAAGTAAAGAGTATATATATCTAGAAAATGAAATTTTGTTAAATTTCTTTTCAGCAATCATTCCGTCCAAAATTCCTTGGTGTGGCTGAACAATTACACGATGAAGGTTTTAAGGTATGTTATATTATTTTTTAAAAGTTGTTTTCTGTCAGCATCGAAATCTGTTCACAAACAAAATATTGCAGAAACGTGGAAAAGAAATAGCCCAAAATATGTCCTTTTAACCTGAAGGGTTTAACTAATGTGATAGTTTCAAAACTTAGAGTAAAATACTTAGAAAGGCTAGGTTTAAGTTTTAACAAAATTGCCACAAACTCAGTAGAAGT